CAAATAGTTTACTCATTCATTAATTTATTAAGGAACAACCTTCTCTCTCTCACTCTCTCTGTCTGCCCTGCCTCTGCTCTCAATTCCTTCATCCCTTTCTCATCCCGTTCTCGCTCTCAACATGATGGGTTATGTCCAGTCAGTGGGCAGCCTTGGTGTAATTTGGCCCACAGGGGCTGTTGGCAGTAGGTGTGGGGATAAAGGGAGCAGGGATAGTGGGGTTTGGAGAAAAGCAGGCTTAGCGTGGGGCCTTGGATGGAAGGGCCAGCAAGCAAAAGCATTAAATAAACATTAATGGAACTAGGTTACAAGAGATTTATTAAGGAGGCTTTTTGGGGCCCCACTGTAGGGTTTTATGCAGCACTTTAATAATTCTCTCATGCACACAGGTAAACAAAGCAGGTAATTTATTGCCATCCTCATAGGTGGCCATTGTAAAAACTGTCTTAACTTTGTTTTTGCCCACAAATGGATTTGTCTATTTCTTTGGGATTTATCATGACATTGAATTGAGTTTGGCTCCAAAAAGCCTTTTTAACATCTAGGGTAAGTCTGACTTGGATATGATTTTGATGTTACGTTATGGTGATGAAAACAAGCGGACTTAATCACAGCTTACTGATGTTAAATGTGGCCTTTTTGGCATGCCATGCACTGATTAAACACAGTAATGAGGACACTGTACTAGGACAAAGACAGAATTTTGAAATTGTACAAGGGCAGGTTGGGTTTTGGTAAAGAGAAAGAGAATTTAAAACCTACAGTAAAGCAATGCTTTGCACTGACACCACACTTCGTATCTTACGTCGTGTAAACCAGCACCATCAGTTATGATAGTCAGAAACTTGTGTTGCTATGTAAGCCAGGGGTTTGCGACCAGCTGCTATTTTGCAAGCTCCGTTTAGACTAAATATGTTTATCTTTCAAATATATCAGCTTCACTTAGTTTTTAGTGTTTAACCACATGAAATAAAGACTTGTAAAAAAGTTCAAAACTGACAAGATGTACCACTACAGAGTGGCAATTTAAGAAAAAAATCTAACCTGTCAAACTACATAAACTCCACATTTGTAACATTGAGCCCTCAAGCAGGCGCAGTTGTCCTGTTCTGTGTTGATGAGGTTTAGTCTTCAGGAAGCGCAGGCAGTGGCCCTTTGAGGACAACTAGAAGAGGAGAGCAAAGACTGACGAACAGGGTCAGGGCAACCAAAGGCTGCATGCTGCTTTACCTTGAGACCCATCCCCTCTGCTCCCTGCTCTGCTTCAAGCCAAAGTGACTGGAATACCAGACACAGTTCAGACTACATACTTCTGAAAGTTTTCTCTAAGTAAAGGAGAAAGAAAGAACTGCTTGTTTGAGTGAGGGAATTTAATGGAGAGAATATGATGGGGAAATGTAAAAAGAGAATTATAAAGGGAATGTGTTTGATTGAGACAGTGGTGGACAGGAAGAAAGTAAAGGAGACGGATCAAGAAAAAATGTATCTTTACAGAGGAGAGAGAATAAAGGCTGCAATGACTGTGAGAAAGTAAGGGAAAGAAAATAGTAACAGGCATCCTGACAGAAAGACATTCAAAGAATGGCATTGCGACTGTGTAGTGTGTGTGTGCGTGTGTGTGTGTGTGTGTGTGTGTGTGTCTATTTGCCTGTTCATTCCGTTTCTGTATGCGTGTTGGATGAAGGCTCTACCATACCGGTTGTGTTGCTGCAGGATAGTGTGCGTCAGGCTCCATCAATATGACATGTCTTTGATGTGGAAATACAAGGAGCAAAACCCCAGCCAGCCTCAGTCCAGTCCCCAGTGGGGCACATCTACCACAGTGCATGTGCATACATGAGTATTTGAGTGAGCGAAAACAGAGAGAGGGGAGAAAAGTAGAGAAAAGGAAATGCAGAGAGCCACAAGCCACAACAAGCACTACACATAACCACTGTCTCAGTGCTTAACTGCCATTCTGCAATGAGGCAACAGTTGTGACCTGAACATTTTCAGAACCAAAGGGACTGTGCACTCAGTCGTCAATACTGTGGAATCAATATTGTATGCAAAGTAAGTTAATAAGCATATCTGTGCCGCTGTCGAATGATAAGGTGTCGTGATGCTTTTTGCACCAAAACTGACACATTGATTTGGAACGAGTCTCATTCTTGTTTGCACTTCATAAATAGTAATATAAATATTTCACATTTGTACATTTTCACAATTATTATTTTATAATTGTTAGAATTGGAGGTTGTTAATATATCCCAGTCTGGCAATCAACAGTGACTATATTGGTGTTTTTGGATGAAGTGCCACCACTTGGTAGACTGGACCTTTTAAAGAAGAGAAGGGAGGATAGTGTTTAGACTTTATGAAACAAATGCAGCTCCTACACTGAATAGATATATTACTTTGGCAAGGTTTTACGATTACATTTATCTATCAGACCTTCATGTCGAATGAAGGGGAGGTGTATAAAAGACGATATAAAAGCAGTCTGGGAGAAACAAGGGGGTAAATCACAAACAGGAATAAAGACAAGGAGGAGGAAAGAAAAGGAGGAGCTTGCTATGAACCTGGACTGTGCCATTTCTGCTGTGTGTTTGCGAGCAATGGCTTCGAAGGTCCAAATCGAACCAGACAGGTCTGTCATATACACAACTATTTTACTAGAATTCAACTTGTATCCTACTTTACTGCTAAAAAAATGTTTTTGGATTTGTGTTTGACCCTTTGATGGCTTCTGGGGGCATGGTAGAGAGAGTTTAAGATTCACTATCCTTTTGTAGCTTGCCAACTTTACCAACTTCTGAATACCTGAGTGGAATATAGCTGTAACAGCTACATGCAGCACAGGGGAAATGGCCTTCAGCATGGGAGTGTCTCTAAAACCAAGTGCAGATATGTCTATGCCAATTCTCTCATTTCATTCTCTAGTCGTTTAAGTGGGTTGATGAAATGTAATTCATATAAAACTCCAATAAAAATTCAATAAAAACACAGAAATTTGGTATTAAAATCTTTTTCAGGAAAGGTTTTATAGCCAGCCTTGTATTGTAATGATGAAGGCTGCTAGCATGTTCAAATACAGTGTGGCTACACTGTAACATGAGTACAGGTTTTTGCTAACTGTAGCTGGGACCTCGCCATCAAAAATAAACTTTTTCTACTCAGCTCTTCTGTCGCCTGAGGCTGGGGACTGATGTAGTGATTTGTGCTGCTCAGTGCAGCCAACAACAGAGCAGTTTCCGCGCTTACCTCTTTGCCTTGACATAATGCTAGGAGTTCCTGCAATTGCAAGAACAAAAAGGCACACCTCAAGCCATTTAGCTTCGTGCCACTGCAGATGTGACAGATACAAAAATAGCCTCTTAAGAAAGAAGATGGAACTGATTGAAGGCACAGCAGGTGTCAGACACCACCGCCTGTGTACTGAAACTAGTACTACTCGAGTTTCTATAGTGTTTTTTTCTCCATACTTGACTGCTTGCTAGCATGTACTTGCATGTCTGTAAATGTTGGTAGATATGTGTATTTTGTGTCGTCCTCATCTCACCTGGACTACGTGAGTCTCCGAGTGTCCAAGTGCAGTCTCTATGAGAGGTCAATGGCTGCTGCGATAATGCTTAACTGATGCTGGCTGTCAATAGTCATTCACCAGGAGAAAAGTGCTCCGCCTGTTCAGTAAATTACACAGTGCGACGTGAGCTGTGAGGTTCAAAACAACCTGACCCCACTGTTGTTGTGAGAAACAATAGAACAATGACTGCAATCAGCTTTTCCAGCAACCATCTGTGTCATGCTGCTGACTACAAAACACCTTTCCATTACTCCAGGGCTGCAGCTATTAGCTCACCATGCCATTGACTCCAAAGTGAGATGGAGAGGTTATTGTAATGCCACATTAGATTGTCTCTGACCCTTCTTTATCTAGTATTTTGTTTTGCTGACCTTGGCATAGGTGGGCTTTTTGAATGCTTGTGAAAGTGATCATTTTTCACAATGACTTGTTTTTCTAGAGATCAACACGCTTGTGAGATGTGAGATTATATTGGAGATTATTACAATAGCTTTTTGAATATGCTTTGTGTATGTTTGAGACATGTCTTTCTCCTTTTTTCCTTGACTCTCTGCTTCTCACGGCTTCAGCAAGAGTTCCAGGGAGCAGTATGAAAAATTGTCCACCATGCACAAGAACATGCAGAAGCTGTATGAAAATATAGGCAGTTATTTTGCCTTTGACCCCCACTCGGTCAGTGTGGAAGAATTCTTCGGAGAACTGGCCAACTTCCGCATGCTCTTCATGGTAAGTGCAAACTTTCTGATTTTTTGTACACGAACACGTTCCTTCAAAGTAGGCACGTACGTTGACTAACACAAGCCCCCACCCACACGTGCGCATACTTTCGCACACGCTTACTTGCACACACTGGGTGTCAGTGAATTGAGAACAGAGGTTGTGTATTACACATGCACACATTTTCATCAAACTTCCAGGGTCCTGACAGGTGGTGAAAACTTGTGCGAAAATTACACTGCTGCACTTTCATGGATGCACTTGAATAGAAAAAGGGGACGCCGATTATGTCGTATCGCACTTCCATTAGTTTGAAGGACTTTGGAAGGATATACAAAAGAGAAATATCAAAATCTAAGCAGAAGAGGCTGAGGTAGTCATTAGTAATGGACCAGCTCTGAAAGCAAATTTTCCATAATGCACCTCAACAGCATCTCAACCCTTCCTGTCAGGTAAATGCTTACAGCTTTCAAACTCTACACTGTTAGTCCATAACTCAGACTTCTTCTGCTTATAATTTTTCCTCATGTTTTCAATTGCAACAACTCCAAAGACATCACTATGGTCTTACCTCGGTTATTTTGGCAGATTTGGTACATCTTCAAAGCCAAAAAAGAAATTATGAAACTTTAATCATTACGTGAACAACGATGGTGAAATAATATCCGTCATCTGATAATCTGTCAAGATTTTCTGATGTTTCTGAGTCACTTTTCTGAATATTTCTTTAATGTTTATTCAAGATATTTGGGTTTGGTGAACAACATGTTAATAAACAGGAGAATTACTGTCACGCCATGTTTGATTTACCTGTCTTTGTTCTGAACCTCATTTTCAGAAATGAGGCCGATTGTTTTTTTTTTAACACCCAATATTTAACATTTAACATGTCGATTTTTAGGAAAAAGAGCAGATAAATGTAAACTTTCTCTTCATGTCAAACGTCCTTGACTTGAGAACTGGAAGAAAGCGTCCTAAGTTACAAAGAAAAAATAAAACAGGTCAATCAAAGCAAGACTACTAATAAAAGAAGCACCAACAAGCTTCATAACCTGGTAAACAGTGTCATTTACATATTTATTCTTTCACATATATGTAAATACAATAAAATATATATCTTTCCACTGATTATAAAGTATGTTTTGTCTGCAATAAAAAGTATATATATCATATACGATATCTGAGAAATGCGATGAGAAAGGTTTGAGGTTCACTAAATGTGACGTAGCATTTTAAATTGGATTAAGGGAAATAAAAAAACAGCCTCTGCTACTTACAGCAGTGAATAAAGGGCAAGAGAGATTAGTGTGTAAGAGGCAATATTAATGATAAGATAAACATCCTCTGTTAAGTAGTCTGTTAAACATTCATTCAAGCGTCTGTGGTTTTCCACCTTGAACAGTTTAGTCATCCCTACCGGCAATGCCCCGAAAGCTCCTGGTGTCAGGATGATGACACCGTGTCCAGACGGCACACCCTCAGTCTTCACCATCTATTAATGTGAATGACAAGGTCCCCTTGTCTGAATCCTTTCCTCTCTTTTCTCTGATCCCCATTTGAAACCAACTTTTCATTCCCGCTGATCAAAGTGCACAACCATACAACATAACGCTCCCTTGAGGATTCCAGAGTTGCATGTCTCTAAAAGAAGCATCCACCCAAGAAAATAAATTATTCTCTCAAGCAAATAGCTGCAGATGAATATTTTATTACTGATTTAAACTTTCCTTCTATGGTTAAGGGGAGGGAAATGACTGGGATATAGTTTTGTGAAATGGGGGCGGGATTATAAGTTAATATATTCATATAACAACAATCCTTTAATCACCATATTTTTCAGATATTATTTATAGTTTTTGGCTTTTCAGCTCTGCTGACAGGAATGCTAATCTCATCTGCTCGCAGAGCACAAGAAATCAATGCTTGTTTATACTTTTATTTCTCTTACCCTGTGAGAACAACTGCGCTAGCTTCTTTTCAGCACAGCGAAAGCTTCTTCTTAGCTTTTCTTGTCAGTGAAGCAATTTTAGGGAGATACCTGCATCATGTTATTTATCTTTGAAAAGGTTGACCTGCATCAGCCGCTGCTGATTTGTTCCAACTGGCAGTTTAGATGAAAGTTGGGACTCTTTGTCATTCAAGTAAATGTAACTTCTTAATATGCCTGGTGTGTCTCACACTCTTATTTCAATATTGAGACATTGCATTGTTTGACTTTCTTCCGTCTGTGTTGCATTGCCTTGTGCAATGCATTCACATCACAAAGCATCTGCAGTATTAAAGAATTCCATTGCAATACAGTCACCCTAAATTGCTTTTGCTAAAAAGCTAGGGCTTAATGCACCCGACCGACATGAGGCATTTGAGTAAACGCATTGACAGACAGTCCTCACAGAACTGAATGTAACTGATAAGAGAATCCATTAACTCGATTTCCCTTCTGTTTCATTCTCTTTTTCTCCCTCGCTCCTGTCCCATTCTCTCTTTTTTCCTGTGGCCAATGAATTATTATTTGATTTCAGTACATGGACTCAGTATTCCAAGAGTCCAACAATTTGTTAATTTAATGCTGCTGCCATATTCTGAAATTGAGTATGAGTGAAATGCAATCGCAGGGTCTTTATACGTAATCCTGACCAGGAGCATGGGGATGAGGATTTTTTCATTAATGAGTTATCAAAGCACAGCAGATGGGCTGGGATGAACTAACAGTCTTCCTTGTTAATTGAGTGACTTTCTAATAAGACCAAAAGACCCAAACTGGGTTCACAAAGTAGCGAGATAGAGCATCTAAGAGATTAGAATGATGGTTTCTGTGTCTGTGTGGGGGTGGATCCGTCCACTTCTTAGCCCGCATGATATTTCTAAAGCTCCCTAATTCCTTCACAATATGAGAAATGATCATAATCAAGCTGATGATGCTAAAGATGACGCTCTGGCAAAGACTGAGCTCTACCTTCTTGCTGAATCACTGTCACATTTCCTCAGGATGCTTCTAGTGGTGCACAGTCATTAAATTCTTTGCACCAGATTTTAGAGGTCACCTATCAATATGGGAATACATGTATACTGCAGAGCAGAAGTCTCACAATCTGTAACCTATAACTTCTTGAAGACATTTCCCCAACATCCTGGCACACAGTGTAACAGATGGCTAATAAACACATTTGCTGCTTAAAGCCCAGGCGTTGTAGTGTTTGTAAAATTCAAATGAGATATAGCAGTGACACTCTCTGTGTGAGATCACTGGTGCGACTGAGCAGTTGGAAATACTTATTGCTCCCTCATTGGACTGGCAAACCTGTATGCATGGGAGGGGAACCATGCTGTGGGAGATGTATTGTGTTGTAAAGGGTCAAGGAAGAACAGCAAACACATTTCATGAATTATTGAAAGAACGGACCTGGAAAGGGAAAAGTCTGCGTGGCCTCGTTGGTGGGTTGGACGTGGATGTTCCACAGCATTCAGTTTCAAGCCAAGTATAGAGAGAAGAGTACCTACAATCTCCATCGCAAACACACTGAGTGTGGCACGCACTCTCATCTCGTGGCCTCTGTGAGCCTCGGTGCTGCAGTGTGCTGCTTCAGTGGTGATGTTGTCAATCATACTTGAAGATGCTATTTTACAAAACCACATTTTGTTTTGTCTCTCGGTTTAAACATCCATCCAGAGCACAGCCAGGGCCCATAAATGCAGGGTTTTACAGCTTTATTTAAGGGTTGTGGGGTTAAATTGTCGCTATAAAAGATAACAGTCGTTGCGGTGGATACTCAAAGGCCAGTTTTTAAGCTAAATGTATTTTCTCGAAGAGCATTTCCATTTCGTTTGTGAACAAAAACCTCCCGTGCTCAATAGAAATATCATTTGCCCACCAGCAAACTCAGTAAAAATATACCGGCTGCTGTTTTTGCTTTATGTGTTGCAACATTTGAATTTGAAAAGTCTCTGCTCAATTAAATGAGAAATTTGCTGCACCTTGACTAAAATTAGATTTGCACTTAGATTTGCTGTGTGTCACAGGTGGTCAGGTAATATAATCCATCAATGTGATTTGCGCTGGCACTTTGCAGCCACCTTGGATCAGGTATTTTGAAGACCCACTACAATCACAGGCCACTTCATTAGTTACACCTTTTTTGTGGCATAGATTACTAAAGGTGCTGTAAACAAGCAGCATTATGTGACTCAGCTGTTCCAACACATCTCAAATATGGTCTGTTGGTTTGAGATCTGGAACCAAGTGTGGACTTGGCCTGTTGTAGCCCATCTGCTTCAAGGTTCACTATGCTCTTCATTCAGAGATGATCGTCTGCATGCCTTTGTGATAATGTGTGCTTATTTGTGTTACTGTTGCATTCCTCTCACCTAGAAGCAGTTTCGGCCATTCTCCTCTGACCTCTGGCATCAACAAGACATTTTTACTGAAAAAACTGCTGCTCACTGGATATTTTCTCTTTTCTGTACTACTCTCTGTACGGCCTAGAGGGGGTTGTGTAAGAAAATCCCAGAAGATCATCAGTTTCTGAAATAGTCAGTACCAAGAACCTTGCCACATTCAAAGTCACTTTTTCAAAATAATCTTTCTTCCAGATTGAGATTCTCACTTTGAAATTAAGCAGATTGTCTTGACCATGTCTACATGCCTAAATGCACCGAGATGCTGCCACAGGATTGGTTAATTAGATATTTGGGCTAACAAGCGGTTGAACAGGTGTGCCGTATGGAGTGGCCTTTGTGTATATAAATGATTGGAGTGTGAGCCCCTGGACTAATTTCTGTGGAATCAGCAACATTAAAAAATCAAGGTTAAAGAAAAACAAACAAAAAAGAAAGCATTAACAGACTGGGGACTTGCAACAAGGTAACATTCAGGTTATGGATATAGTAAGATAGAAAAGTCATTACTCGTTTTGTATACAGTGTTGTAGTGTAACACGCATCAGTAACACAGAGGTTAATGAATCTTATATATTGTTTAGCTCATTAAGTAACAGAACGATGTCTTTTTTTTTATTTAAATTTTTTAAAAATGTAATAAATAATTAAACTCTTGTGCGACTAATTATAGTAATGAGCATCACCTAGAGACCAATGCCATGGCCAAAAATAAACATTTTCATGGTTACTTCAAATTACATTGTTACTTGTACTTTGATCTTGAGCAGTCGAAAGTGCTTTGGAGACCAACTGCAACGCATGTGCTTTCATAACTTAGTCTTCAGAATTTATAAACAATATCTAAGCATTTCAAGAGGAACCCGAATTCTTGCCTTACGTGTTATATGGGTTTAAATCAGGTTGTCTGTATGAGGTGTGTTTTTGTTAAGCAGATCTCACGATGATGATGGTTTCCCCTCCTGTGTCTTCTTACGATACGGAGCTGCCAAGAAAATGAGACTTGATACAATCAGTCGCTGCCAGTGGCAAAATTGGGGTGGCCAAAGAGAATGGTAGAGCGAACACATATTCGGTGCTATGGTAATTAGTCGTGCTGTTTGATTAGAGCAACATGATTATGTTGCATAATCATGTTTACAGTCAGAATTAGTTGTTTGTTTAAAATAAGTTTTGCCGACAGGATTTTTTATGCAATCTGCATAATTTACAGCAACTAATGCTGTAAGTGTCGAGCATTACAATGACAGTATCCCCAAAATGAATCTTGTCAGCGGACGATGACAAACATTTTGAACATTTTGAACTCAAATAATCTCTTATTTGAGCAAAAAGTCGAGTGTTTTACTAAATATATACCCATGCACTGCCTTACTAACTCCAAATAGCAACATAGTGTTCGGACTAGTTTGTGTATCTGTTTCATTTGCACAGCTTGAATGCGATGATGATAAAATATTGGTTGAAATGTGAGTGTTTACAAATCTTTTTCAGCCACAGAAAGATAATTTAACTTGGTCCATTTTCAAAATGCAGTTAATACTAACACTCTCCCCTATTTTTTAAATTACTTTCTTTTATTCTATTACGACTTCATTATTACAACACCCCTTTACCCCTCTTTGTCCCTCTATCTCTCTCTTGCTCTCTCTCGTTGCCCTTGTCATCTAACAAGGAGACAGTGACAATGAGGGCTTGTGTCCTTGGACATGGAGAAAGGCTCTGCTATTGACTGGCATGATGAGCTGCTTTTTCCTTGTTCCTTTCCCACAATCCCCATAATCCCCCTGTCTTAGCTGCCAACACGACACACACATCAGGACCACAGGGGCATTAGATGGGGGGCCTACTGTCGCCACTTATTATATCAGTGCACAGACAGGGCCATGCCTTCACTTACGGATGCACACACACATGCATGAGGGGAACACCACAATAAGCAGGAGCGCAAAAATGGCTTTCACCATAGGCACATATGCATGTATATGTATACATACAGCATAACCGTTCCCACGTGCACACCCACCTACAATGGGTCCTGTGCAGGGCTGCACCACAGACCTGAAATGAGACAACTTTTTTCTTCAAAGGTCACTTGGTTGCATCTGATTCTCTGTTGGCACAAGAACAAACTGACACATTTGTAAAGGCTGAATACGTACTGTTGATTATCTCTCTTTCTCTGACTCCTGACATTTCAGCTGGCCACGAAGTAGGCCAAAGATGATATCTTTTTCCCTCCTCAGAGACCATCACATTTCTGCTACACTTTTTAATGTTGCGGCATGTCCATACAACCATATTGATGTCTTTTTCATAACAAATGAGCTTGTGATAAGAAAACTTTGTAAGTCTAGCAGTTGAATGTTTGTGGCCCCACACATAAAGTATGATATGCTGTTTTGTTTTTGTTTTGTTTTCCCAGCAGTTTATCTGTAACTATCAAACTTTCCTCTGAGTAGAATTTCCTAATGACATGCTGCTGCTTCTGAACACTATACAGTAGTGAATATGCTTAAAAAAGTGGTTGTGGCAGGAGCCAAATTCTGATTTTATCTGTGTTTGTGTCTCTGTGCGTGTGTCTCATCAGGAAGCAGTGAAGGAGAACCACAAGAAAAGGGAGATGGAGGAGAAGATCAAGAGAGCCAAGCTGGCGAAGGAGAAGGCAGAGCGTGAGAAGCAGGAGCGCCAGCAGAAGAAGAAGCAGCTGATTGACATGAACAAAGGTATGCCACTTCTCCCCATGCCGCCACCGAGCCGGAGATAGGAGAACTCGGAGGACGAGAACAGGAGGATGGGAGGGGATTTCGTGGAAATCTGCTTCACATAGATTTGAACTGAAGGAAGAGGATAGTGTGTAGGAGGAGCAGAACTTATCTGTCTTAGCTATGAAGGAATTCTATATTTACTTTGATACCTAGCACAACGTTTCCAAACAAAACAGAGGTTATGTTTACACGTTACGTCAAGTTTCGTCCATGTATGTAGAGAGACATATTTTTTCGTAAAGGACACACATGTGTAATGTTATACATATTGCACATAGTGTATATCCTTCAGTTTTGTTACCAGCTTCCATCGGGATACGAAAGAGATTGAAAGCTGTGCACGACATATAGAAAAGGCTAAAGCTTGTTCTCCAGAAGGCACGTCCAACATGATTGTGGTCATTTTATTAGTCCATTGGCCCATTTATCCATTGGTCTTGTCGAAGCAATGGGCTGTTTTCAGGCGGCATGTTACATTTAATGTTGCAAATAGCTAGAATTAGACTGTGTCCTCAAGCAATGCCAGTAAGCCGTGTATTGATCAATGAAAGTCACAGTTGTTCACACATGAAAAATAATAGTGACAGAGCTGGGTGCCTGTGTGTAGTTATGCCAATGACACTGAGAAGATATTTCAAGCCTGGAGGGGCTTTGTGAGCAGTCAGTGTGTTCTTTTCTTCTTCTTTTTTTTCTTCTTTTCTTGCACAAATTGACTGGGATTTTCACAATTTACCAACTTCTAAATGTCAGCACCAGGCAGAGACCTCTCTGTAGCTCAGCCATATTGGGAAATGTGACAAGACAGTTCTCAGTATGCCACAAACTCTCCAAGATAATTGATGCATGCTGCATTTTCTTTTTCCTAAGCAGTGACCTCTCTGAAAGCCTCACTTTTAATAATCCAACATGTCTGAGCTGAGGGAGCCTGTCTACCCCTCTCTCTCATTCTGGCTAACCAGATGGAGAAGGATAGAGAAGTAGGTATGATATTAAATATTTCTGCCAGAGCAGATTTTGATCTCAGTTTCTGAATGCCATAATATGACTCGTATGAATAAAACATAAGGATGACATGGGCAACGTTGCCTGCGGCCTTGGAGATAGTGGGGATTGTGCACCAGCAGCACCAGCACCTAGCTCGTTGGACTCTTGCGATAACAATGACCTTTGAAATTATGAAATATGCACTTTAAAATTCAAGTTGTATCAAGCCCGAGCTGTATTTTTTTCTTATGAGAAGGTTTTTACCTACACGGGCTTTAAATGTTCATATTTTTGAGTACTAACTTCTGCCTATGTGGAATGTAATCAGAGGAAGATCGATCAAATGCAGAGATTTTTAAATGTACTCTGTGAATGAGAATCTGAACTTCAGCCAGAAGCAGGTTGGAGGTTACAGCAGCTTGGTGGTTTGTGCTTCTGTTTTCTCTTAGCTTCCCTTTAAGCTGTGTGGTTTGAACACACATTGCAGGATATTTGGTGCTTTCACGTCTTACTTTTTCCCTCCATTTCTCTCCAGTTAACAGCTTTGGCTTAAGATTCTTGGCTTTCTTCTCCAATCCTGTTCTCCAATTCTACATGTGCTACCGAATTAGTTATTTTCACATCACTATTTCAGCCTGAGCGTCAGCAATGTTTCCAGTGATGGATCGTTTAATACCTTTAATACACCTTTAATTAATTATGTCTGAAAATAATTTAGTGTTTCCGAAGGTTGAAAGGCTAGAATTCTAATAGTCGTGTCTTTATTGTATACTAAATTTGTTTGTAGGCTAAATAGATAGATGGAAGGGAGAGAGAGCGAGAGACAATGAGATCAAATATAAATAAATTTAGATTGCAAATCCATTAACATAAGCAGCTAGAGTAAACATATGGCTGTTGCATTATGAGAATTATGCTCAGGTCATTGTCTTATCTGTTTTATGGATTTACAGATTTTCTCATTTTGTTGCTTAAGAGAGTCTTTGATGGATCATAGTATTCAGTTTAATGCCATTTCAAGAGGCTATTTTTGAGAAGGGATAGATTTGATGTCATTTCACAAATTGCAACCTAATCCTCTTCGCTTGCAAATGATTAAGAACGAAATACATATTTAATGGGAGTTTAATTCATTTAGCTTGTGCCAGGATGGCACCAGGGTGGGGGAGGGTTGACGGACAAATGCAGTAGGACAATCATTTCCCCCCCCCCCGAAAAATCCCATTTCCTAGTTGATAAAACTTGCGATTATGCTCTCTCTACGTTCAGTGACACACACACTTCGTCAACAAGCGTGATTGATAGATGAGACAAGCGCTGAACACGTTTTCTTTGTGAAGTATTAGAAATCCTAACGTAGGAAATTGCTTATGAAATCATTACCCAGTCACCCCATTTGTTTTAATTTGCTCTAAGTGGATTTCCATATTCTCTTCAACTGACCAGATGTTCAACATTTACTAAATCACTTTACTTCACTGGAAATAACTGTTGAACACTGTAGAATAAATCCAAACTAATGGTTCTGTCTAAAACACGAGAAGATGGCTCAGCGCAGCAGGATATTTTTTATTGCAGCATATGAAACAATGTCACAAACAGCATGCTGAGTGTGTCAAGTGCCCAAGCATGGTAGAGCATCTGGACTTTACTTCTCTAAGGCATTTGTGAAGAGTAGCAGACCCCTTTGGCTGCTTGCTCGGCTGGCATCTCTGAGGTCAGTGCCCCCGTCTGGGGCAAGTGTCTGAACCCACATGTCAACTGTATACCCCAGTCAAATTCACTAAGCTTTGAACAGAGCCGGGAAGCACACATGCTTCTTTGAGCCCAATTCAGCTTGGCATAAGGCACATAAAAGGAAATAAACACGCAACCAGAAAAAAGTAATAAGTCAAACATTTTATTTAGTCCATGAGAAATTTGTTTTCTTTTTTTGTCTATTTTTCTCAGAAAAAGATACAAAACCAAACCTAATCTAGGTTCTGTGTAAACGTTCCCTTCGCGACGTGAACATCTAAAAATAACTGTCAACCTGAAGAATATAAAGCTTTAAAGCATACTGGTTATAACTTTCGAAGTTCACATTACCTTTTATGAGTGTACCAACTGCCTGCTAACTCAGTTGGAAACACAATGAAATGTTATCCAACTTTATTACTTTACTAATTGCGGATCTCAAAAGAAAAATATTTGAATGGAAAACTATATTTCAGTAAAATCAGTTCTTATAATTGTACTACAGGGTATTACTAAACGCAGTGGCTGCACAGATGCTGTTTTTATGATTACGTTTTACTTGCAAAGGGATCATTGTTTTAGAGACAGAATTAGAGCCCACCCAGCGTCAGTCCATTGCAACAGCTGGAAGACACACTGACAGAATGTGGATCCATACATTTGGTCGCTCACTGGGATTTTTACAGCAGATAAATATGTTTAGGCAAAATGTTTGTGTTTGGGATGACACATAGTGTATTCATCTTCGTATTTTTTCACAAAACATCTGGTTGAGGTTGACTATGTGACATTTTCTCTGTCTTTAAAAATCCCAGAGCCAAGCTTCAAACCAACAGACATTAAGCAACATTTCCAATAATTCAAGGCCTGCTGTGTAAAATATAGTTTGTTGTTCATTTTAATGTAATTGTAATTATGTAATTATTACGTGTTCTTTATGCTACAGTTTCTATTTATCCAACCTCATTATCTTGTATATAAGGAGTATATGCAATGTATATAAGATAAATTAGACACAGTGTAACATTTAAACGTGCAATCAACATGACATACATGTAACTTTACACATACATTAGAATGTATTGGAATGTGAATCAAATTTACCCTCTTATGAACATGTTGTCATAATAGTGCTTGTTAAGTTATTTCTTCTTCTTTTTTAGCAAAGAATTTATTTTTCTGAAAAGCAAGTGTCAATTATTGTGGCATGCTAAATTAAAATTACATATTTCTCTGCAGCTGGCTGGCTGGTTGTGGCCGGCAGAGCCCTGTCAGGAATGACAGCAGTAGAGATGCAGATTGATGGTTTTGTGTGACACTGACAGCTGCCGGTAGGCCAGTGCATACTTGCTTTGCAGCCATGCCAGCCAGGTGATCATAGTCAGGGATTGACAAGCGGCAGTGGGTTGGACAGGTTGGCTGTCTAGGTATGCATGTGGCTCCACAGCACAGCAGACATGGCAAACAATATTACCAGGGGAGATAGCTTATAGAGACACGGAGGTCAAAACCCAGGGGAAAAAATATATATACTTCTGAGACATATTCTCTCTTTTCCTCACCTTAGCTTAGAAAATGAAGCCAGTTTTAGAGCACTGAAACTGACCTTCTTGTTTGATATATAATATGACAAACAACGATAGACCTTTCAGAATTCAACAGTGTATATAAAACCTGTTTTTCCACAAACAAATAATATCTCCGAAAGACCAGCCATGCCTTCCTTGTCTAGTTATAGATTTGTGATTTCTGATAACTTATGAAAATGAAATCTCTTGCTACATTTGCATGTGGATGTAAGTGCAGTGTAATGCCAAACTTTGAGGAAATTGTTTTTTCTTTGTCCTTGCATGTAAGCTGTCTCAATTTAGAGTGCAAAAAGTGCAAGCCATCATCTGAAACTTCTGCATATGGACCGGTGAATTCTGCTATTACCCTGAAAGACAGGAACAAGGGCACCAGGATTATCTGCTGTCATAGACCTATTCTAATAAATTACAGCATGTTAGATTGTGCTGTATCTCCAGTAAGAATCGGGGTCTGCCTCAAGGAGATGATGGCACAGAGATTATAGAGGACTGCGTTTCAGTGCTCTTGGCCCAAATAGAATAAACTGAAATATGTAGGGAAAAAAGGCATGCAAGGATTAAATACACTTTGTTGAAAAATGCCATTTTGCAAATGAAAGTAATACAATAAAATAGTCATCCACTAAATTCCCCGACTTTGATATTTCC